GAACAAGAAGGAAAGGAAGAAGGAAGCAGAAGGAAGGAGGAAGGAGGAAGAAGAAAGGAGAGGAGAGGAGAGGAGAGGAGAGGGAAGGGGAGGGAAGGGGAGGGGAGGGGAGGGAAGGGGAGAGAGGAGGAAGAAGAAGAAACAAGAAGGAAAGGAAGAAGGAAGCAGAAGGAAGGAGGAAGAAGAAAGGAGAGGAGAGGAGAGGAGAGGGGAGGGGAGAGGAGAGGAGAGGAAAGGAGGGGAGGGGAGGGGAGAGGAAAGGAGGGGAGAGGAAAGGAGGGGAGGGGAGGAGAGGAGAGGAGGGGAGGGGAGGGAAGAGGAGAGGAGAGGAGAGGAAAGGAGGGGAGCAGAGGGGAGAGGAGAGGCGGGGAGGGGAGAGGAAGGAAGGGGAGGGGAGAGGAGAGGAGAGGAGAGGAGAGGAGAGGAGAGGAGAAGAGAAGCAACCAACCAGTATCTCCACAAATGTCAAACAACAAATGCACCAATCCAAGAAACAAGAATAAGGAAGACAACATCATGCCCCTGAAAGCACATGACACTTCAATACTAGATTGTGAAGATGAGGAGACAGAAGAAATGCAAGAAATGGAATTCAAAAAATTGATCATAAGATTACATAGAGGTAATCAGAAGCAAATGCACAAGCTACTGAAATCCATACAGGACATGAAAGAAAGTTTCTCCCATGAAACTGAGATCTTAGAGACATTAAAGAATGAAGAAAGTGTTAAGAGACAAAGAAGGGCACTACATAATGATTAAGGGATCAATTCAACAGAAGATGTAACGATTATAAACATTTATGCATTTAATTGCAGGCACCTGGCTATTTAAAAGAAATGTTATGTAGAAGTGAAACTGACACTATGCGAAGCAATGACTTGATCTTCCTTGTCCTGACTGTCAAGGAACAGCTTATTATTTTAGGATTATTTATTATTATTATTATTATTTATTAAGGAGCAACTGGGACAGAATCCAGCGCCCCGACTGGGACTAGAACCGCAGGCAGAGGATTAGCCAAGTGAGCCGCAGCGCCGGCCACCAGATTACTTTCAAAGGATCTCCAATTAGATTCACAGTGGATTTCTCATCAGACACTCCACAGGCTAGGAAAGAATTGTGTGATACAGTCCAAGTCTTAAGAGAAAAAAACTGGCATCCCAGAATATTATACCCTGCAAAGTCTTATTTGTGAATGAAGGTGAAATAAAAACCTTCCGTAACAAACAGAAATTGAAAAAATTTGTTACCACCTGTCCAGCCCTACAAAAGATGCTTAAGGGTGTGTTGCACACGGAAACACAGAAACATGGGCATCACTACAAAAGAAGGTAAAGGAAGAAAATCTCTCAGTAAAAGATCAAAGAAAATTCAAAGTAAAAATGAGGAACATTTTTGGAAAAATGGCAGGGCAAAGTCATCACTTATCAATAGTCACCTTGAATGTAAATGGCCTCAGATTCCCAGTTAAAAGACACAGAGCAGCTGAATGGATTAAAAAACAAAACCCATTTATTTGCCGCCTAGAAGAAACACATCTCACCAACAAAGATGCACACAAACTGAAAGTGAAAGGTTGGAAAGGATATTCCATGCCAACAGAAACCAAACAAGAGCTGGTGTAGCCATCTTAGTTTCAAACTATCAAACAAAATAGACTTTAACACAGAAACTGTTAAAAGAGACAAAGAAGGGCACTACATAATGATTAAGGGATCAATTCAACAGAAGATGTAACGATTATAAACATTTATGCATTTAATTGCAGGCACCTGGCTATTTAAAAGAAATGTTATGTAGAAGTGAAACTGACACTATGCGAAGCAATGACTTGATCTTCCTTGTCCTGACTGTCGAGGAACAGCTTATTATTTTATTTTTTACTATTTTCTTTTTCTACTTAATACCATTGGTTGAACTCTTTACTTACTTTAACACAGAACTATTCATAGGTGTTTAAATCTGGCTCACTTGGCTAATCCTCCGCCTCGCGTGCACCGACATCCCATATGGGCGCCAGGTTCTAGTCCCGGTTGCTCCTCCTCCAGTCCAGCTCTCTGCTGTGACCCGGGAAGGCAGTGGAGGATGGCCCAGGTGATTGGGCACCTGCACCTGCATGGGAGACCAGGAAGAAGCACCTGGCTCCTGGCTTCGGATTGGCGCAGCATCGGCCGTAGCAGCCATTTGTGGGGTGAACCAACGGAAGGAAGACGTTTCTCTCTGTCTCTCTCTCCCTCACTGTCTAACTCTACCTGTCAAATAAGTAAAATAATAATAATAATAATAAATCCAACTGAAAATTGATCCCAGTAAAAAATAAGAATGGGAGTAAGAGTGGGAGGAGATGTACAGTTCCCACAACTTACCCCTAAGGGTAAAGCTAAAGACTTGCCATGGGACTCCAAATCCCATTAAGCTGGGTGGTACTAATTTCATCTTACTAGTTAAAGTGATCATTTTAAGTGTGTAATTGATCATACAGATAGGAATAAGTGTCAAAGGGATCACATAAATAAGACCAAGTGTCTGGTAATAACAGTAGATAGAATTAAAAAGGAGAGAATGATCCAACATGGGCAGCAGGTCACGCAGCAGACCCAGAGTGACAAATGCCCTAAACAGTGCTCTGGCCTCAGAATCAGCCCTTAAGACATTTGGATCTGGCTAAAAAGCCCATGAGAACATTCAGGCATGGAAAGCCAAGACTCTGTGAAAAAAAAAAAAAAAACAAACAACAAACCCTCCATGAAGGATCTCTGTGAGTGTGAACCAGTGGAAAAAAAGGGGCCATCAAAGAAGGAGGTACATTTCTGTGAAGGGAGGAGAGAACTTCCACTTTGATTATGGCCTTGTCTAAGTAAGGTTAAATAAGGTCAGAGTTTGTGAACTCAAGAGGCTTCCATAGCCTTGGCAGCACATGACAAGAGCCTCGGGTGATCATTGGCATCATAAATAAGAGCGTCAATTGTTAAATCAACAACAGGAGTCACTGTGCACTTGTTTCCCATGTAGGACCTTTGTCCTTAATGAGTTGTACTATGAGAATTAATAGTAAAACTTGTCTTCAAACAATACTTTATACTTTGTCTGTGTGGGTGTAAACTATTGAAACCTGTATGTAGTGCCAGTTTCTAGGAGTAGAACCTGTATGCATATATAAAGATAACTGAAAATGAATCTTAATGAAGAATGGGATGGGAGAGGGAGTAGGAAGTGGGACAGGAGTGGGGGTGGGAGGGCAGATATGGGGGAAGAACTGATATATTCCTAAAGCTGTGCCTATGAAATATATATTCATTAAATAAAAGCTTGCTAAAAAATACTAATTGTGTGACCTTGACCACCTGCAGACTGAGGTCACACCACTTGTGGCCTATCATTATACTACAAATTCCTATTTAAATGCAAGGTAAAAGTGATTTTTTAATGATATGAGTGGTTCAATTTACCATAAATTATATAGAGGCCCTGGAAAATAGACTCAGACTTCAAACAGTGTGAGTTCTCTCCCACAGTAAGGGGTCTTTCCGTCTGCTGCACTAAAAGGGATATGAGGCAAGGAGGGTGCCACACAGTTCTCTGTGGCCTCACAGAATGGAAAAAGCTAAGGGTGAGTTACTGGAGTTAAAATTATAATGTGATAGGAAAAAAAATACAGACCCTACTTGATCCCTTGATAAAAAGTGACAATGGTCCTGGTACTAAAAGAGGATGAAATTTCTTCCTGATTGTTCTAGACTAAGGCATAACAAGTTTGCTGCTTTGGCAACCGAAAGCACCTCCTGGCTCACCATCCGGACCAAATTCTGAAAAACAGAGCTGCCCACCAAGAAGTAGAAAATCTGTAACAGAGCAAGTAATGAGCCTAGACACCAAACTCAAAGACCACCAGAAGCAAGGCAAGGAAAGCGAGTATTACAGGATAGCAAAGAGGAGTACACTAATTCTGAAGTACAGTAGCAAACTACCCTATTTACCCACGCATTCTTTGACAGACTCAAATATGCGAGGAAAAGTAGAATTAACTGTTAAAAGGGAAGTAACATTTCCAAAAGTCCTCAGCAAGGGCTGAGTGGTATCCAGAGGCTCCCTCTCCCTCCCAAAAGCAATCGCACACTGTTGGCCCAAGTGAAGTTGTTATTTGCAGAAAAACCTTTTGCACAGTCCATGAAACAGAGCTGGACAAACTAACTCCCGAGATAAGGACCCTGCAAACGGTTACAAACATATGATCTGCATTATGGTTCTTCTTGGACAAAATGATCTTTATCGGATTTTGTCTTAAGTTTCTCCAACTCTTGACATTTGAATATTCTTTTTGCTCCAAATGAATTCATGTGCTAGTAACAGCTTTTTGAAATAGAGACAGCTATAGAGATTATAGACGAATATTCATCTCCTGTTATTGTAACACCAGTCTAATTTTAATAAAAAGGCTAGAAGTCAAATCTACTTAAATTGAATCAAGAAAAAAGAAGTTCACTTTTTCTAGGAAAGCAAATTGATTTTTTTCCTTTTATTTCCTTATGCTTTGTAATGAAGGCAGTTATAAAACCTTTAAATAAATCTTCAAAGTGAACTATGTTATACAGTAATATTTGGCCTGGCTCTCATGAGCCATGTTTGCTATTTTACAGGCATTCTAGAATGAGAATGCGTCCTCAGGTCAGACATTCTTCTAATGCTGCCTTTCTGGGAACAGAGAGGGCAAACTGGGTGCCCGTGTTGTCAACACAAAACGCTCGTCTCAGTTTTCTAAAACTGAAGCACTCAATGGGTTCTGTGTTTCTCACTTTTTCTTATTTGGCCTCTAGACTGCATCTGGGGTGCCTCTGATCATGTGAATCCCCCAAGAATCTGAAGCCCATCAGTCTATCAGTGGCAACCACTGAACAACAGAGTCTTAAGAACCTCAACAAGTCTAAGACCTGTGAGTTGCCTGTTAAATGGGAGCAACACGGGGGCCTGGGGAGGGAAAATACACGACCACTACTTACTTTTCAAAGAAATATCTGATGACCAGCAGGAGAAAAGCACAGGGAATCGTCATATATAAGTGGTAAGGTTTGGCAAAGACAAGTCCGTTGTGATCGTCGAGATCTGACCACTTCATTTTTGGAGGAAGCCAGAATCGTTCCAACCAGAACCATTCTTTGAGTGTCTGAAACATTCTAGAGAAACAGAGAAACACGTTAGACTCATACAACAAACACTCAAAATTGAGATAACAGTGAGCAGCTTCACCCAAAATACCTAACTTCAGCTAAAATACATGAAATTAAGGCAAACATGGAGCTCTATTTTTTAAGTAGGTTTCATGGCCCTTCATTGTATCAAACATGAATTGCTCTTCAAATGCTATCCGAGCAATTTTGGCGATGGCACAGCACATGGAAGTTTAACTCGCCACTGTGCACAGTTTCAGCAGAACGTATGTGAGCATTGTGGGCGTATTTTCCTATTACAAGGCATAAAGGTTAACAATAGGTCTACAATTCCAACATGCCACAAGTCAGCCTTCTGAAAGCTCCCAGTATATACAAATCTTCACCAGGACCCCAGCCACGTCCTAGGAGACAAAGGACAGGCACGTCCAGATTCATCTTACAGCAAAGAGTTCAAAGTAGCCCAGGTCAATAAATGCTTAGGGAGATCTTATTTGTGTAGCACTGTGTGAGGCATTGAGGACACAGAGATTAACACGACAGAGCTCCAACCCTGACAGCCGGAGAGTCTCAGGGGCACATCAGCCTTGAACAGATAACTCCGATGCTTTTTCAAAAACAGTCCAATAAAAGGGGGCCGGCACCATGGCGCAGTAGGCTAATCCTCCACCTGCGGTGCCAGCATCCCATGTGGGTGCCAGTTCTAGTCCTGGCTGCTTCTCTTCCAATCCATTTCTCTGCTGTGGCCTGGGAAAGCAGTAGAAGATGGCCCAAGTCCTTGGGCCCCTGCACCCAGGTGGGAGACCAGGAGGAAGCACCTGGCTCCTGGCTTCAGATCAGCGCAGCTCCAGCCATTGCGGCCATTTGGGGACTGAACCAACATAGGGAAGACTTTTCTCTCTGTCTCTCCCTCTCACTGTCTGTAACTCTACCTCTCAAATAAATAAATAAAATCTTTTTTAAAAAAGTCCAATAAAAAAGGTAAATGCAGGGTGATGCTGGGACAAAGTGATGGCAGTGAGCCCAGCCAGGAAGCATCAGGGAAAGACAACTGGAGCAGATGGCCCTGGAGATGCCTTGAACAATAAGTGAAATACAGAGGGGAAGGCAGAGAAATCGGGAGGAGGGAATGGCAGTTTTAAAGAGAGAAAGCACTCGGTATGCAAGTTTCCAGAGCACAGGATAACCTGGAATTAGACAGCACCTCTCAAGGTGGTTTAGGCTGTGTTCATTTTGATTCTGCATTCTGACCTTGAGATGGCCTGGTTTTATCTTCTAGCATTTAATCAGAAAAAAGAGTCCAAATGGTGTCATATTTGTAACAGGGAAGTCAAAATAACTCTATCAATACCTCCTTGCTTCAGAAATAAGACACATATGGAAAACGGGCAGCCCCGGTGCTGCCACAGTGACAGACGCGAGGTGTGGAATGCCGCTCTGTGGGGACTTGCCTAGGCAGCCCTGGTCTACTGTCCTGACATGAGTACTCATAGCTCCTCCTTTCCGAATGCTTCAGTCTGGACAGTAAAACACAAGGCGCTGAGGAGGGCAGGGCAGGGTCGCAGAGGGCTTGCACGTCCTGCCAGGACCTGGGACTGTCACTAGTGGACCTGCTGGGGAGGAACACAGTGGACAGGTAGTTCAGCAAGGTACTTTGGCAGCCAGGCCTTGTACGAGCCCACATGGTATCCTCACGCCAGTTAGAGGGGTATCCCTCCAGGCAGACACAGTTCTTCAGTGCAGTGGAAATGATTTGGGGAATAGACAGGGAGTTAGGGGAAATGAACTGGAAGGTTTCTGTCTTTTGGTCTCGCACTTCAACCCCACCCCTTACATGCCAATCCAATACGCCCACTTTCCCATAATGCACCTGTGTCTCCGGGACTGGGCAGGAGGAAACACCATGATGAACCCATACAAGCTAAACTCTGAGTGGAGACACAAAGACACTCCCAGAGGACCTCACAGGCACTGAACCCTGCCCAGCTGTGCTGCATCTGTACATGCAGTTAGGGTACCGCCCTGCTCCACAGAGGGGACTGCTGAATGCGGAGGGTGCCTATTTGGACCGCCCTTCTTTTGCCTGCTGCCACGCTTTCTCCTTGTGGAAAGTTCTCAGGCCTCTCACAGCGACTCCCTCTCCTCCCTGGGTTGCTTCGCCTCCTGCCTGAGTGTCTGCCCACTCTCCCCTTTCCAATAAATCCTGCTCTCATCTATGCACCTGACTAATGTCTCGCCTTTGAATTCGTATCTCACATGGGGCAAGGACTTGGAATAAGCGCTGGGAAACACATTCCTGCAACGGAATGAGAGCAGGATTTCATCCCACACGTGCCGGCCTCCGTCCCAACCCCTCCCCCGCCCCAGGCTCACACACGGCAGCTCAGCTGGCAGTGGTGTGGACATGTTCCCGGACAGGAGAGCCTGGAGTGGAATCAGGGGCTGAGAGCAATAGGTAGATGCAGTCGGGAAGGGGAAGGCTGGTGTCAGAACAGTGGGGACTGAAGCTGCTGCTAACAGCGTGGTTCATGGGATCCAAACTGGAAAAGAATTAAAGGGGGGCTAGAGAGTGAGACGAGGAGGAAAAAGAAAGTCAAGGGGCAGAGGTCAAAGGACCAGTGTGGCAGGCATGAGACGAGGCCCAGAGGGAGGGAGACAGCTCCAGCCACGGGGCCGCAGAGCCAGCCTTCTGGCTTCAGACGCGAGGAGGGGACCCAGCTGCAGACCACAGCCTTCAGAAAAACCCACACCACACCAAGGACTGAACCCTGGGAAGGGAACTCCCTCCTCGTCTCGCCTCTTACCCACTGTTCCGGGAAGTGCTCATCCGGCAGCCCCGGCCAGTCTCACCTGCACCTGCAAACTGTGTCCCTGGAAGCAGGCTGCCTTCCTCAGGGAGTGTGGCTCTACCCTACCTCCTACTTAGAGGGGAAGTTTCACTTACACTGTTGCAAAATTGGGCCAAGACTTGAAGATGATCAGCAAACTCTTTCTCTTGGGCTTTGGGCTACAGAAGGGAAAGGGAAGCTCACAACTGAGTTGGGACTGACTGGATGTGGACCAGGGAAGAGCAGGAGCTGAGCGTGGTGTCCAGACGCAGGGATTAACAAGTGTCAGCAGCCCATGTGGTAAGGCAAGGAGGAGTCCAGCCCGGTCACCTGGCCATCTGACACAACTGACCGAAACAGGAAATTAGAGAGGTCCATTTAATTTCTCACACCCATGTATAGCTCAGGACAAGAGCAGGCACACGTCTTTGACTCAAACTCCAACTGAAATCCAGCGTTCCTACAGGTCTTAGAAACCAGCCCAGGCCTAAGTTCCCCAACTGCATCAGAACTAAGCCCAAAGCTCAGGCAGAGATATCTTTCCCTAGAGCTTTGCCTCAGCACAGTCATTACCTTACTGGCCGCAAATTCAAAGGACAAGGACTCAGGGAATAAATAGCAAATGGTAGAGAGTGAGTTTCATTTTGTTTTTCTAATATTGTTACAATAATGGGTATACATTTCTTTTACTCTTAAAACACAACTGAAAGCAGTATAAATTATTTTGTCCAGTGTGAAGTACAACTAACCCAATAGTTTATATTGGCAATGTAAGAGTTGCTACCCTAAATAATTCCTTGTGCATTCTATGCAAGCGATGAATCAAGAGCTATTTAAATCATGTAACTTTAATTCTCAACAGCCAAACTCACTGAAAGAGAATAAGAAAGCAAGCCGGCCGGCGTTTCTTCTCCAGATGAAATGGGCCGGCGCTCTCCTCTAGTCCTCCATGCATTCAGTGTGCTAGTGACCAAGAGACTCCTTCCCTCTGGACCCCACAGCCTGTGCTCACCACGGCCAGAACCTCTGGCCGCCTTCAGCGTCCTCCGTCCCTGAGCCAGGCGCACAGGAGGGGCCTTGTCGGAGGTTTCCCAGCGCCCAGCCCTCACGGGGGGCAGGGGAAGCCAGCCCCGGGCACGGAGTTGGCACGATGCCTTTCTCGTGGTGAAGGCCAAGGCGCTCAATCTTCACCTGCAGCATCGCCAGCAGGATGCTCGTCTCAGGACTTGTGATCTGGAGAAGAGAGGGTTTTTCAGCGGCAGCCGGCGCGGGCCGGGGCAGCTACCGCCGGGAAGCAGTCGTGGTCCCTCCGCGTTCTGGTCTCCTGGGTTGCCTGGCTCTAGCTGTCATCGCAGTCTGACCCACTGGCCTTCCGTCAGTGCTGTCAGTCGCCGCTAACGCAGTCCTTCGTCTAAGACACCGAGGAGGCAGAGCTGGATTCCCCCGCCCACAGCAGGAACCCCGGCAGAGAACCCCGTGCCTTCCACGGCCGCTCCCGCAGGGAGGCTGAGGCCCCGCTCAGCTGCCTGGCCAGAAGCGGCTCCTAGCAGGCCTTCCTCTGAAGCTTCAACCGCCTGCATTTCGGGAGGAGGGGCGGGCAGACTGGCATTTGCTTCTGGCTTCCCTGATAACCTTAAAAAGACGCTCGGGGGCTGGTGCTGTGGTGTAGCAGGTAAAGCCGCCGCCTGCAGTGCTGCCATTCCATATGGGTACCGGTTTGAGTCCTGGCTGCTCCATTTCCGATCCAACTCTTTGCTGTGGCCTGGGAAAGCAGTAGAAGATGGCTCAAGTCCTTGGGCCCCTGCACCCATGTGGGAGACGCGGAAAAAGCTCCTGGCTCCTGGCTTCAGATCAGCGCAGCTCCAGCCATTGTGGCCAACTGGGGAGTGAACCAGTGGATGGAAGACCTCTCTCTCTCCCTCTCTGTCTCTCCTCTCTGTATAACTCTTTCAAATAAATAAATAAATCTTAAAAAATAAAAAAGATGCTTGGGAGATGATGACACACATGAGGGAACTTCAAGAAGTTTGTGGAAAATGGAATTACAAGAAAGTTTTATTGCAAAATATTTTTTAAATTCATGCTTTTTGTTCATGACATGCCTTTTCCATGAATTTTTTGAAGACCCCTTCATATTACCTACCCAGTGGGAAAAGACGATACATTTATTGGGAACTAGG